GCATAAAGCAATATTATAAATTTCCTGTATTAAAGCAACAAAGGCATATTGATTTGTATAAAAGCAGTTTTGAATATTGATAATTATTTTTATTTTAGTTTCTGATATATAATTTATATGTTTATTTCATTCATTATAAAATAGTTGTCATTTTATATCATGTTTATAAGTAAGGATAATAAAAATATAATATAATATCTTCTTTTACTCATACCTTGTTATAAATATTTTTTTTTTCTAATCTATTAATTTATATGAGAATTGTTGTGATATTGTCAATTGCAAAATGATTTTTTTTTTTGAAAAAATGGTTTAGTGCAGTTATTCATAAAATCAAATGATATATTTGAACTCCTTGAGTAGATGATTTTTGGTATATGGCTCATGACGAACTAAATATATGTTACTAATGTATCAATATCAATTCTATTATAGTATTGTAGTAGTTATATCAATAAAATTTTTGCAATAGATTCTAAATTTATTTTGTACTTATACTTTGCAATGTTTTCACGCATATTTCGGTATACATATAACTAGATACCCAACAAAATAGGTGAACGCATGATTTTAATTAAGGATAATGATTGGTTTGTTATTAAAGATAAATAGATAAATTCTTTTTAATATTTTAGAAAATTGGCTTTATAATTTTTGAAAATCTAAAACAGTTGAGTCATTGATAAATCAAAGGATTCTAAACTAATTCTCTTGATTAAATGATTTTTTTGAAGATACAATTACAAATATTTTGGTATACCGTTGGTTACCAAATGAATAAAAATCATAATTATTTGTTATTAATGTTGATAGATAAGATTTTATTGTAACATTGTAATCATTATCTTAATAAAATTTCCATAATTGCTTTTAAATTTTTATTTTAAATTATATTTACAATTTTATATATTTAAATAATATTTTCCAAAAACGTAAATATTTAATAGATATCGTTTGAAGACAATGTTGTATTGTTGATTACCAAAAAAATAAAAAAATATTCATAATTTAGACGAATAATCAAATTTTTATTGAGATAATTATCACAAAATACTTTTCAAAATTCATACAACTTTATTTATATAGAAAGTCGTGCTATTAACATGCGTACAATTTACAACATGTATGTAAAATTTATTTTTAATTTTTCTATAAATATTAGTAATTTGTACTGTATTTTCTTTAATAGTAAGTGAACTTATTTAATTAAAGGTTAAAGTTACTATTTTAGATTATTCCATCAAACTCTTTTAATATATATATATATATATATTTATTATAAAAAAGTTGTCATTTTATATAATTAAGGATAATAAAAATATAATATATTCAAATATTATCAATAAATAATACTCACATAATGCTTCTCTCTTTATCTTCTTTTACTCATACATTGATAAATCAAAGGATCCTAAACTAATTCTCTTGATTAAATGATTTTTTGAAGATACGATGATAAATATTTTGGTATATCCTTGGTTACCCAATGGATAATAATAAATCATTGTTATTTGTTATTAATGTTGATTAATAAGTTCTATTGTAACACTGTAATGAATATCAAAATAAATTTTCCATGATTGATTTAAATTTAATATTTTGCAATTATATCTACAATTTTTTATATTCAAATTATATTTTATAAAAAAAATATATTTAATAGACATTTTTCGAAGACATGTTGTATTGTTGGTTACCAAAAAAATAAAAAATTACAGTGATTCATAATTAAGATGAAGAAGCAATTGCAACAATTATCACAAAATAATTTTCAGCTGATTTATATTTAAGTCTTGCAAAATTGTTCTTTGATTAGAAAAATACGAAGTTTCCTGATTATTTATTATATAGTAGGAGAATTCAAATTTGTATCGAACTTTTATTATGTTAAAATCAAATAAGGTACCCAAGAGCGCTTGGATGAGATGGCTTGAGTCTCTTCCAGCTTAACCGGTGGTCTCGAGTTCGAACCCTGGGAATGCAGCAGTGTTAAAACTCTTGAGGGAGAGCTTTGCCGCCCTTGTGGTCCTACCCGGCTTGATTCCGGATTAGTCGGTTCCCCTGTGGATCCAGAAACCGGAAGGTCCCTGTACCCAAAAAAAAAAAAAAAATCAAATAAGGTGGAAAGCTTAGGTGATAAGGACCCTTTGCTACTACCACTTTCAGAGCAATTATAAATACTATTGGACTCAATTTTATATCTTAAACTGGTTAATGCGTATTTGGAGTAAGCGTGAAGTCTTGCTCAACAAAATCTGCAATATATTGAATTGCACATCAATTTTGCATGCCTTAAGACCCCACACATAATAAAATCACACCCTATTACAGATTGTTTTAATTTCTCATGATACATTGTTGTTAGTTTGAGTCTGACTTTAACCTACTTTTGTCCATTTTGGAGCCCTCCACGTAGAAAAACACACTTTATGATAATTTCTAAGAATATAAATTGGTAAGTAGCTATTGCATGAATTTATGCTGGTCTGTGTGGTTTGTGGATATCAAGAAGATAGACATAAGAAGAATGAAAAAATTTAAAGCAAAATCAAAGTCGAGACACGTAATAGTTACGTTCTCTTTAAAATAAAACTGTTTCGTAAAATACTCACGGTTAACGATAAATACCTCTAAGATACAATGGCATTTGACTTGTATATAGTGGTATTTAAAATATACAAGCATTCGACGGACATTATTATTGTTAGGAACTATCAGAACTTAACAAAAACAATCAAAGAACACAATATATTTTATGAACTTTGAAAATGTAATGCAAGAGCTCTTAATTTTCAAATTGTGAATGATTTCATGTATGTGATTATTTATAGATGTGATAAAATACCTCCAAGAGGTTTAACTGTCAAAAGACACCTTTTAGAACGTACCCGAACGAGCACGGACCCATCTAGAAGCAAAAAGACAATTTATGGTCCCCAAGGGTCGCGGCTTAATCCGCTATCCGCGGCCAGCTGTGCGCCCGTGTGGCGGGCTTGTACGATCTCATCCGGACTCAAAATTGAAGTTCCGCTCATACCCAACGAACACTTATAGAGTTGTAGCATGCTAGCTGCATGATCAAGTCTGGTCTGAATTATCCTCACATTCGTCAAAGACAGAACGTTTTGCAAACTCAATAATCTGAGTTGTTTAAACTCAATTGCTTCAGTCTTACATTTTCCACATATATAACTTAGAATTAATTTTCTTATTCACCTAAAAATGATCTTGAAAATTTTCTAAGTCTTCCTTTACAAAAAATAGAATCGTAAAATCGGTATATACTTAACAAGTTTATATGATATATTAGCTCACACCTTGAGCTATATCAAACATAAATTAATCGGGCTATAAGCTATGTCATATCAAGAATACACATTCATCCCATTTTTGTTCATTTCGAATTTACATTTAAGTCCCTTATCCTTATGTTTATTATTCATTATACTTTTTTTAAAAGACGAGAGAATGAGAAATAGTGAAATAGAAATTGTTTTTGGGTGTGTATGTGGGTAAATGGGTCCACACTCACTCCTCGTGGTAATGCTTAATGTAGAGAAACATATATGTGACCTCAATCAAGCCAAACTCCCACGCGTCTGCCACCTTCTCTTGTCTTCTTCCTCTTCCTATTCCCTTTTAATTTAAAATAAAACTAACCGAACCAAACATAAATTCTTATATAAGACGACCCAACATTTATCTGTCACAATTTTTTTGCAATAAAAATGAAAATATTTATATTACCAAATATCATACATTTATGCATGCACTTTTAGGAGTGTAAATTCTGCACTTTAAAATTCCGATATATTAAATATATATATATGATTATCCAACTGTACCAATGTCGTCAGGAACGGATTTAGAAATTTTTTTGAATGGGGGAGGCGGTGAACAATATAAATTTTCAGAAACATCACACACAATATAATAGAAGAATTATGTACTTTCAGACTTTGCTAGCAATTAGAGTTGTTTAATTTTCTTAAATTATGGAACATATTAATAGTTGACTCGAACTTTCTGTAGAGAATAAAAAATATACAGAAAAAATAATACAAAATTTTCATATTCTAATTTTCTATAAACATATATTATCATATTCTAATTTTCTATAAGCATATATCATATATTTTCACCACATTAATTTGCATTCTTAAATGCTCTGTATATTAAATTTACCCATTGTAGTGTATTAAGTTATATACAAGCGTGTTCATAGAATACTTACAAGATCTAATTATTATTCATAATAATTAGTACATGAAGTAGTAGAAATGAGTTAGAATAGAGTTGTGCAAATTCTTCTACCAACACTGTTCTTTGAATTCTCAATTTTTGGGTAAGACACTTGATTCTCAAAACCTCTAACTTATTTATTTAAATTAAGGATGAATATAAATATACATTTTAGATATACTTAATAAAAAAAAAAAAGAAAGTTGGGGGAACAATGGCCTCCCCCAACTAACACTTGCATCCGCCCCTAAATATTGTTAAATTAAACTAGCCCGACTCGCTATGACGCTTGTTTGTTTAATGAATTGAGCTCGGCTCGACTTCAAAAGAGAATTTTTATGTAATTTTCTATTGTTCGGCTCGTCAAAGCTCGAGATCGGCTCGTTATGACTCGAACACGATTCGTTAATAGTGATAAACAAGCCGAATTCGAGCTCGATTTCTTGCTTGTTTATTCGACTCGACTCGACTCGACTCGACTCGACTCGACTCGACTCGTTAACTCGACTCAATTCGTCTACTGGCCGGTGGATAGTCATATTAAAATACAAAAAATGCAGTGCCATAAGAATAACATCATCATTACTATGGAATGCCCACAGGTCCATCTCTCTCTCTCTCAATTAGAATTTCACATAACCAAGATGACCCCATTTTTTGTTTCCTAGCTCTTGTCTTAGAATATCCATGTTATTAAATGTTTACCCTAAAAGTCCCCTCATCTTAACTTTCTTCTTATTCTTCTTCCTCATCTCATCATGGCCTCATCATCATCATCTTCCCCGCCGGCAGCCGCCGATAAACGAGACGGCCAGGCGGGCCCCACTCACCACCCCCACCACCACCCTCCTCTGCCGTGCCCCCGCTGCAATTCCCCCAATACCAAATTCTGCTACTACAACAACTACAGCCTCTCCCAGCCCAGGCACTTCTGCAAGTCCTGCAAGCGCTACTGGACCCGCGGCGGCTCCCTCCGCAACGTCCCCGTCGGCGGCGGCTGCCGCCGCAACAAGCGCCTCAAGCGGCCGCCGCCGCCTCTCCCAGCCGCCCAATCCAACCCTAAGCCGCCGTTGATGAATAATAATAATAATCACATTAATCCCTCGATTAATTATTACCCCCTCCAAACGACCAACAATCGTCTCGACCCGATTGGTTTTCCGTTTTCCGGTGAGGACCCGGGATTCGATTTTCAGCCTCGAGTCGGCGGGTTCGGGTTAGGGTTTTTGTCTGGGCTCGTTAATGGGCCAACCTTCGATTCAGGCCCAGTTTCTTTTCCGTCGACAGCGGCCCATAATTCGCTCAATTTCCGATCTTCGGCGTTTGCCTCCACCTTCCAGCATCATACTAATGGTGATTTTAAAGATGTGATTAGCAATAATCGAGATGTAAAAGTAGAAGGAGAAAACGGGTTCGGGTTTGGGAACCCGAAATACCCGAACCCGATTGATCAGCTTAATTCCTCGGATCCTTCGTCTTTCTTATGGAGCACGACTAATCTCGGCACTTGGTTCGACCCGTCCTCCAATATGAGTTCTTCAGTTTCTTCTTTGTTTTAGCAGCTATTTTTCATTTCCTTGCATTTTTTATTTTATCTTTTTGTTTTTAGTTTTTTTTTATTAATTAATTGGGGTTTTTTTTATAGCCAGCCACGGTATCCGGAGCTTTGTCCCGACTAATCCGTTGGTCGCACACCTGACAATAGTGGGTGAGTGTTTCAACAAGATTTTCTACAGGACTCGAACCGAGACATTGCTTAAATTAGGGGGCGCCCTTAGGGGGCGGGGCGGGTTTGCTTAAGCACTAATGGTCTTCTATTTCATTCTTTTATGGTGACAGTCATTTCTTGTACTGACGTTTGAGTCTATGAAGAGAGAATAGAGAATGAGATAGAAGATCATCAAGAATATGAATTTATGATTATTGGGATGGTAAACTAATCATTTTCATTTGGGTCTTTCATTTTCCTCTCAAATAATTTTTTCCGACGTAGTAATTAACTACCCCGATTTTGCGATGTCGGCATTGGATGGCGCG